TATATAAATATAAGGTAAAAGTAAAGCTCTCCATATGATAAGTGTAAAGTCCTTGTAATTGAATGGGGGAAGGCTACTTTGACAGCAGTATGTGAAGTAAAAAACCTAGAGCAATCAATCCTAAATACAGAGTCCTGAATCTCCAAACCTCCTTGACAGAGAATAGTGGTTTGGGAATCTGCATGTTTCAAAAGCTCCTTGGTGATTCTGATAATCTGGAAGTTTGGGAAACTGCTAATATTGGCTGGAGATTCTAGTGGAATTTGCCTGCCATAAGGGAGGGAGTCTCCTAGAAGAGGTGTTATTAAGTGTGAGAACCTTTTTAAAGCTGAACACTCTAAAAACCACTGTATTTCAGAGTAATTCTACCCAGTTTCTTTTACCCCCTAAATTATTATTCCATAGCAGTGAAACTTGGGAGAAGTCATTTAATTAAAGAACCATTATCTACTGTTTCTATACAGTTAGAATGGAAGACAGGCAGAAGAGTTAATTTGCTTCTAATCTCTCCCTATGCAAATTATAACTCCCTAATCCTTTTTTTCTCTGAAGCTCTACTTCAATGGAACCCTTAATGTGAGTTGCATACATTTCTCAATTACATAATTCTTTGGTGCCTTTGTCTCTGAGATTTACTGCTTTAACCTTTGTATGCATTTTAAAGTTAAATTTTGAAGGCTTTATAAGCACCCTGCTTTCTAATTAACAGTAAGCATATAATGTTAGTGTGATAAAATATTAACTGTGCATATTAAAGAATATTCAGAATTGATCAAGTTTTTTTCTTTCTCTCCCTTGGAGGCAAGATTTATACTGTACAAGGTATGGGAGAGTAAATGTATAATTTGGACAAATACTTCCCTGAATACCAATATTACTTTATATATTAATAGTAATTATAGGATTTTTAAATGCTGATGAGTTCTTTTTCTTTTGTGTGAATTTATGAATGTAATAAAACACTTTTGACAAGCTAATCAAGTAAAACAATATAAGATTTAATTATCAGCTTTTTAAAGATTTTATGAACCAGATTCTCTTTATTGCCAGAACCACTTAGGTAATTTAGGAATCACAGAATCCTCTTAAATCTTTTGTTCATAAAATAGTGGGATTTTTTTACATGCTTATTGTAAAAATTCAAGCATAGGAAAGTACAAAGAAAACTTAAAGCCACTAAAATTTCTACAGCTCAGATAAAACTCAGATTGATAGTTTAGGGGATGTTCTTATGGACATCTCAGTGTGCATATATACACACTGGGATAGTTGAGATGGTTGTCTTTTTAATTGACCGGTAAGAGATCTATGAATATTGGGATCTTGTCATTTGGCTTCTAACTTTGTTTTTTAACTTCTAACTCTGCACATAGTGATTTTTAAATTAAACTAAATGTCATTTATTTATTTGATTTTGTTCATAAAATTTTTGCCACAAAAATTTATTTATGTTTCATTTTATAGTTTTAAGCTTTTCTATTACAGTTAAGAATGGCCTTTGATATCCCAGGATTGCAGAGATACCTATATTTTCTTATAGTAGCCTTAGGGCTTCATTTATTACATGATAATCTTTGATCCATCTGAGATTTATCTTCAATAAGATGAAAGATAAGAAGTCAATATTATTTTTACTCCAGTTGCTAGCCAGCTATCAGACTTCATGAATATCCAATATTTTACTACTGATTTCAAATGACACCTATCATATTAAATTCCCTTATACATTTGAATCTATGTATGAGATCTATTCCATTCTATTGATCTATTTTTGAATAATTATTATTGGACTTTTATTTCTGTGGCTTTATACTATTTTTTAAAATAAGATAAGTATCCCTTCATTATTCTTTTCCAGATTATCTGTCCATTTTTGCATATTGATTTGATAAACTTTAAAATCTTATGGTCAAATTAACAAAAGCCCTGCCAAGGGTATTCAATTGAAGTTGTATAGTATTAACTGAGGGAAAATCGGTACTTTTATGATACTGGCTTTTATTATTGAAGAAAAAAGGTTTTTTTCCTCATAGATTTAAGTATTCTTTTATATATATCTAAGTAGCATTTTTGTATTTTCTTCATATGGGCCTTGGCTATTTTGAAAGATTTTTCCAGATAGTTTAAGTTTTTGGTTGGTGTTAATGGAATTATTTCCCCTCATAATATTTTCTAATTGTTAATGGTTAAAATACAAGCTATTGACTTTTGTTTATTTATTTTCTATCCAGACACTTTGGTAAACACTCTTTTTCTTCTAGTAACCTTTTAGTTGATTTTTGCCTTCTGAAGTCCCTCCAAGTGGTACTCAGGAGACTAAAGAAATAAATATAACTAACTACCTTATTGTAGGATGTGACTTGAAACTATGAGAGAATGGAGCCCGAAATAGGACAGAGTTTGTGGAGTATAATTAGTACATCCAGTATAGACTGAATATGGGATGGGCAAATTCTCATCATTAAAATATGTCAGATTAAGTATACTAGAGTGAGTAGGCTTTTATGAGATTATCTACTATTCTGATATTATTAGAGTCATTTGTTACTCTATTAATTAATATCTCAGGATTAATCTTTGTGAATTCTGTATATTTATGTAGGCTGGAGAAAGGCAGGGTTCTTACTTGAGCTTGAAGGTGTATAGTCCCTTGTTCCAGTAAGGAAAATGCAGAGGAATGGAAGGTGAAATTGAACTAGTTGACTTCTTCAAAATAGTTCACCAGCTTGTACATTCCAGGCTTGCTAATATTTTTTATACCCCACAAATAAAATATAACTTCTTTTCTTGTGAGTAATCGTCCTTCCAACATACACTTACTGATTCAACCATCCACCATATCAACACCTCCCCAGTTATGGGTGAGATGGTCTGACAGTGCCATCTGGTGGCCACCTGAGGAACTGTGCGGGGAACCTCTCTACCTGTTGGACTCTACTCCTTGAGTGAACCTGAGGCTCCAGCCTGGATTGGTGTTTTAGATGCCAGATCCAGGTTTGGGAGCAGGCAGTTTATGCTCAGGCTGTAGGCAGGGAGAAGAGATATCAAAGTCCAAGTCCTGGGAAAGGCTGCTGGGGGGAGCTGGGAAACAAGGAAGGAACTCAAAGGGCCACATTCACAGGAACTAGTAGAAAGCAAGGACTATATCCAAAAAGAGAGATCTGCAAAGGACTTCCATCAGTGAATAATTTGAGAGGGCACCTGAAGCAAAGCAAAGAAGGTAGACTTTTATTTTAATGGAATTTCTACATTCAGCCTCTGGCAAGAAGCCCTTAATTTTGGTTATCCAGTCAGTTCTAACATCTTTTTACAGGATTTTCTCATTTTCCTTTTTTTAAGAAAGATTTTTTTTCTATTTTTTTTTTTTTTTTTTAGTTTGAAACTCAGGGAATTCCACATAAGGCAAACCCTGTTTCATATTTTCCTTTTTTTCTCTTTCTTCCTATCTCTTTCCTGTTTCTTTACTTCTCTCCCTCGGTTCTTCTTAGATCCTTTTTTTTTCAGCTCTTATTCTTGCATTCTCAGGAAAGCTTCCCTCTTTCTCTTCCTTCATTCTATTTGGGGAGCCACATCATAATCCTAACTACAGCTGATAACCTAAGGATGGTGTTTGAGGGTCATCGTCTCTACCAAGAAGGGAAGACAGAGGTTGTGAAGAACCAGTGCCGTGAACACTTGAGTCCTTGGAAGAGTTCGGAAGTCCCTTAGTCTTCTGCTTTACCTCACATGATTTCTCCATGTTTCTGCACTCAAGATTTTTGTCTCTTTTATTCACTGCCATATCCCCAACATTTAGAGCAGTACCTGTCATATAGAAGGTGCTTGCTCCATTAGTATTTGTTGAAAGAATGAATAAGTATTTTGGATGAATAAGCAAATCTAGCTTATTTCTTTTTACTATATTTCAATTTTATCTTGTAAGTACTGCAATGATGCTAATTTTCATTGTGAAAATATTATTTTGGACTTTTGTGGGATAATTTAGATATCAAGGGTATTTCTAGCAGAAATTATATTTTTAGGTTCTGACCTACCAACTGACTGACTTTCAAAAAATAACCTGTGGGGAAATTAGGGACTCTCTGTACCTTTCCTTTTTATGGTTCAATAGTGTGTCTTTTATATACATAAAGGAAGTAAAACAACAACAAAATGACCAGCTTTTTCCTGGTGCTTCTCAAGCACTCTTTGCATCCTTCCTAAAATAGAAGCTAAGACTTAAATATAGAGGAAAACACAGATTTGGAAAGCTGAAAAATAATAAGCATTTGGCAAAACATCTTACTGTATATGTTTTCTCTGCAGAGTCTCTTTTGCATTATAAAACTTTGATAATAGAGATGGAGAAATATTTATTTCCTACATAGAACTGAGCACAGAGAAAATGTTGGATTTGCCTAATATTTATCAGAATTATACCTTTTCGTATGATCCTCCTCAGAACTGGAGGGGCAGGCTGTGTTTATTTTACAGATTGTTCATCTGACATTGCTGTTGTGTGAGAATTTTCTGGGTGAAAAAAATGATCATGTTCCACTTTCCATTTCAAACCTCTAGGATTTCCAGACTAGCTCAAAAATCTCTGTGATCTTAAATAAATGATTTTACTGCAGTACAAAGGGGAAGTGAAAATGAATTAGAAGCTGGCTTCGATTAAGACCGCTGAGGAGATCAGGGAGTGTGTAATATCAGAGTGTGGTAGACCTTGGTTGATTTGCAAGGATGTGTCAGAACATCCCATATCAGGCTTGATGTCTTGTTCCTGGCTGATTTTGGTGGCTGTGGTCATGGGCGGGGATGGGGGCGGGGGACAGGCTTTTAAACTTCTGTTTCTTGCCTACATAGATTGTAAGAAGCTACAAGGCATGCAGAAAGCATGGACTAACTTTAGAGTCAGAGGACCCTCAGGCTGCATGGTGGACTGTGACGCCTGGAATCAAATAGGCAGCCTCTCAGAGCCTTAGTTTACCTTTCTGGAGAATGGGAATAATGATGCCTACCTAGAAGCGCTGTTGTGAGGATTGGCGGTGGTGCCCGGCTGGCGGTCCTTCCTCCGTTGACCGGTTGCGATCACAGAGTTCACCTGTTGTCCGTCCGTTTCTCTCCCAGGTACCTCGGGATCACGAGGCCGCTGACGTACCCCGTGCGGCAGAACGGGAAATGCATGGCCAAAATGATTCTGTCCGTCTGGCTGCTCTCCGCCTCCATCACTCTACCCCCGCTCTTCGGCTGGGCCCAGAATGTGAACGACGACAAGGTGTGCCTGATCAGCCAGGACTTCGGCTACACCATCTACTCCACCGCCGTGGCGTTTTACATACCCATGTCAGTGATGCTGTTCATGTACTACCAGATCTACAAGGCCGCCAGGAAGAGCGCCGCCAAACACAAGTTCCCGGGCTTCCCGCGCGTGCAGCCCGACAGCGTGGTGGCGCTCAACGGCATGGTGAAGCTGCAGAAGGAGGTGGAGGAGTGCGCCAACCTCTCGAGACTCCTCAAGCACGAGAGGAAAAACATCTCCATCTTTAAGAGGGAGCAGAAGGCAGCCACCACGCTGGGCATCATCGTGGGGGCCTTCACCGTGTGCTGGCTGCCCTTCTTCCTCCTGTCCACAGCCAGGCCCTTCATCTGCGGCACCGCCTGCAGCTGCATCCCGCTGTGGGTGGAGAGGACATTTCTGTGGCTGGGCTATGCAAACTCTCTCATTAACCCTTTTATATATGCCTTCTTCAACCGGGACCTGAGGACCACCTACCGCAGCCTGCTGCAGTGCCAGTACCGGAACATCAACCGCAAGCTCTCGGCCGCAGGCATGCACGAGGCCCTGAAGCTTGCCGAGAGGCCCGAGCGACCGGAGATTGTGCTGTAAGGTCATTTATCACTGTTTTCCTTTTATTCCCCCCTACCCCTTCCCCTTTTATGCAGATTCTTCTTGCAACACATCACAGAAAGCTTCCTGAATCAGTAGCTAGTTTGTTTTCTGCTCAGCTATCAGATTTGAATTCTTAATAGTACAGATTCCAGTCTGCCGCCCAATAAAATTCCAAAGGCCAAAGATAGGTACTTATCTGAACTGGAAGCTGAGACTGGTTTGCTGATAAATTGCAATTCCTGGGATTGATGACAAGGAAAGTGATACTGTCCATTCTTTCTCCATGAATGGCATCCAAATGATGTCCTTATATCTGAATTTTAGTTGCTGTTATTTCTCCCTCTTCTGATGGCCTCATCCTTCGCTGATGATTCATTCTTCTTTTGAGGAAGGAAGCAAAAGTGATCTTTCCACTACGCAGTTACATTCACATGGGCTGAAAGGAAGCAGCCTGGGCAAAAGGAGAAGGGTTGTCGTGGGGAGATGCCAGGATGGGGCGAGGACGTGAAAGCCACAGGAAGTGCTGCCAGCCATCTTGGCCATCTCAGCAGCTGAAAACTGATAGAGTAGTTGCATTTGTCCAGGAGGGCCGACTGACTTTCCAGAAAGCAGTTACAGCTGGGGGTTAGGATCTGAAAAAGGATTGCCAAGGGCAGGTGGTGAAAAGGAAATGGAACTTTCACCAGTAAGCCCCACATTAATAAATTGGCATTGTCAAGAAGGAAGGAGACAGTATAGAAGTTAGAGTCATCAGATCAAATGAAGACTTTGTTTCACATTTAAAGTAGAGGAGATACCTTCATGTTTGGAAGCCAACCAAGGGAAAAGAAACTTGGAATGAGAGATTGGAAGGTGCTGGTGAGACAGTGAGCAGAACAATGTCGCCCATAAAAGAGGAGGCGTTCCTTTTCACTGAGCCTGGCAGGAAGGGATCGACCAGAGAACCAGGAGCCATTAGCTGAGAGGGACCTTCCCAGTCATCTTGTCTAATCCCTTCATTTGACAGAAGAGGTAACTGAGACTTGGAGAGTGAGATGTCCCACAATTAGTTACTGTCACAACTAAGCGTAGATCACACATCATCTGAATCCTAGTGCAGCATATTTTTCATATACTAGACTGCCTTTTCTTACAACTCAAATTTGCAAGGCAACAGCTGTGCTATTTCTTGAGCTGGGTGTAGTTTCACTAATTAATTTTTACTTCTATTATATATACTCTTTTGTATCTATTAAATTGTTCACAATATAAAAAGTAGCATTTAAGAAAAAAAGAATACAATTTCAGGTTCTAGAGCACATACTATGAGCAAACCCAGGCATCCTTCTAGGCCTATGAGATTCTATTTAATTGACCACTAGAGTTTGCTCACCAGATTATGATTTCCTTCAAAGAAGGAGCTATATATTGGTCGATTTCTTTTTGTGGAATCTAGTACAATGATTGGCATATAATAGATGATAAATAAAAATAATAACTTAACAATTATTGAATACCTACTACTATGTGCTATTTACCATGCTATGTACAGAATAGGTGCTTCTAGCATCCCTAGTTTTCAGAAGAACAACTTGAGGCTCAGGAATATAAAGTCACTGACCTAGGTCACATGGTCCCTAGGTGGTAGGTATGGTATGAAGCACTCCAATGTGTGTGTTCTTGCCCATTATGCAACACTACTTGTCATATGGTTTCAATCTCTAAGCAGTGCAGAGCCACTGAATGTTTTTGAGCTGGGGATTATCGCCATCAGCTCTCTAAGAAGACAAGCAGAATGACCTGTTAACTCTAAGTAAGTTAGGTTTATTAGACTTACTGCATTATGGAAGGATATCTCCTAGACAGAGTCTGGTTTCTTAGATGAAGGAAATAGGCAAGAATATTGATAGAGTTTTAGGGCTTTGGCTGAGTGCTTTCAAGGTGAAGAACTGGTGAGGACTCTGCAGAGTTTCTGACATAATAGCTTTGGATTAGTGGGTTCAGCTAGATGAGGACCTTGAAGCAAGTATTTATGAGCAAACTATTAGTCTTGTTAAGTAAGCAGTTTTAGTTGGTGTATAGCTTTATCTTCTGGAAGCAACTATTTGCTGGAACAAGTAGCAAGATTATTTTGTCTGGCCCCAGGATTGTCTAGCACAGGAAAAGGAAAGCATGTTGGTCTCAGTTCTCAGGGGGAGCATGCTGAGGGATGTGTTTGAGGAAATTCTCTCTGGCAATAGTGAGAAGGGCACACAAAGGGAAAGATGAGTGGCAGGGGGTCCAGTTAAGCAGCTGATATATAAATTAGGAAAGAACAGATACAATCCTGAGCTAGAATATGCCAGTATGTTTGCATGCCTCCTACACAGTCAAAGCACTTGAGAATAATTTTATTATTTTAGCTAATAATTCACAGATAATTCAGATAGATCGCAAAATGATAATTTTTAAAAATGTAACATAAACAGGTTTCCCAATTTAAAATAATAAAAATCCACATTTGCTCAGGATTCACTGTGAGGCATTATGCTGAGCAGTCTGTGAATTTTATCACTTAATCCTCAAAACTTTATGAGCGCTTGATTTTCTTCACCTGCATTCTGAAAATAACACAACAAGGGCTTGGAGAGGTCAAATAATTTCCTCACAGTCATACAGATAGATGAGGGTGGTAGAACTGGATTTGAGCCCAGGAAGTCTGTGTTCAAAGTGCTTTTAACTTCTATGATACTGTGCCTTTCATAAAAATAAAGTGGCTAATATAAATTCCCAGGATATTTCCCTTTGTATCTTTAGCTAGCATGGAGGCTTGGGTTTTGTTTTCCTCTTAGTCTAAGATGGGTTAGCAAACTTTTACTGTGAGGGGCCAAATAGTAAATATTTTAAGCTGTACTAGCCATATGGTCTCTATCAAAACTTCTCATCTCTGCCTTTCTCATCAACAAAAGTAAACAAATGGACATGGCTATGTACCAATAAAACTTTATTTACAAAAGGAGGCTACCAGCTGGATTTGGCCCACAGGCCTTAGTCTGGTGTTCCCTCTTTATATCTCTCACAGTTTGAATTTATAATTATAGAATATTCAGATCATTTAGGAGAGTTAGCCTAAAAATATCTATGAACTTGAGGCAATTTCTGGTGATAGAGCTATTTTGCAGCTGCCATGCATTGAAGAGGATACAGAAAGTATATGTTATCTTTCTTGTTTTGTGTGTGTATTTCTATTGGACACACCATACATAAATATAGGCATATGCTGCTATGGTCTGAATGTTTATCTCCCCCCACCCCCTTTCCCTGAAATTCATATATTGAAACCTAATCCCCAATGCAATCATATTAAAATGTGGATCCTTTAGGAGATGATTAGGTCATGAGAGCAGAGCCCTTACGAATGGGATTAGTGCCCTTATAGAAGAGGCCTGAGGGAGCTTGTTTACTTCTCCTGCCAGGTGAGGACACTGCTAGAAGGCACCGTTTGTGAAGCAGAGAGCAGGCCTTCACCAGCCTCCAGATCTGCTGGTGCCTTGATCTTGGACTTCCCAGCCTCTAAAACTATAAGAAATAAGTTTCTGTTATTCATAAGCTACCCAGTTTAGGGTATCTTATTCTAGCAGCCTGATAGACTAAGACATATGTACATTCATCCTTTTTTGTAATAAGGAAAGATGGAAATAGGAAAAGCTATAATATTTGAAGGAAAGGAAAATAACTCAGAGCTTACACTAACCTTGATCAGAGAAGACATTCTGGTCCTTCAGAATGCCTGGTGCCAGGATATGGGCTTGAGTATTTCTGTGAAGGTGTTCCAAATATTTATAGCTAAAGGGGGGCAGAAATGATATTCCAGGAGAAGGGGGCATTTTTTGTAGTGGTATCAGTGTGGGTGCTTTTTTGAAGGACTCTCTGGAGTGAAGCTAAGCATTAGGTTGAGGGAACTGTTAGATCACAGTAGAAAAGATGAAGTGGACTGAGATCAAATTATAAAGGATCTTCTATGCCAGCTCCAAGAATTTGGACTTTAGTGTAGACGAGTGATTCATGACCAGGAGTAATTTTGCCCTTCCGCTGCAAGTGGAGACATTTGGCAATATCTGAAGACATTTTTGGTTGTCACAGGTAGGAGGTGAGGGAAGGTGCGTGCTACTGGCATCTACTAGGTACAGGCCAGGGTTACTGCTAAACATCCTGCAATGTACCGGACGGCCTTCCCAACAAAGAATTGCCTAGCCCATAATGCTACAGTTGGGAAATTCTGGTGTAAACAGTAGTAAGCCATCAATGAATCTGCAAGTAGGGGAATGGAGTCATCAAAGTGGCAAAGACTGAGTCATGGCACTGTGTAGGGTGAGTCAGAAGGATGTCAAAAGTCTCTTCATTGGCTTGTTTTTCCCAGAAACTTGACTGCCTGCTATGGAGAAGTCCTGGTGCCAGGCATGGTCGGGGTAGAAAGATTAGTAAGTGACAGTCCTAGGCTCTGGAAGCTCTGAATCTGGTGGGCTGGAGTGGCTGTAGAGATGGTGTGATGGCTAGTGAAAGACTTGTAACCCACACAGTCCTACTCTGCATGGTTGCATTCACATCAACACTAGTTGGATAGCCCCACCCAACTTATAACTCTATGGAGTATGGATAACAGAGCCAGTCTCTGGAGTCCCAGGAAGAATGACAAATGGTATCCAATTCACAGCCCATACCATGCCATCTTAGAATCCTCAGCTCCCCCTGCCTCTCCTCTGCCTCTCACCCTAGAGACTCTGTGCTCCTCCCTCTAATTTCTCCAGCTCCTTCCCTCGCTGCTTGGGTTCTAGTCCCTTACTTTTCCTGTTTTCTCTGCCTTCTTGGCTCTATTTTTTCTCCTACATAATAGTTTTCTTCCTTTCCTGTGTAAACTGTCTACTAGACTGTGTGTTGCTACTCCCAAATATTTACCCATTTCTTCCCGTTTTCTCGATCAGCCTAACCAGAGCCTCAGAAGTCCAGTATGCACTCGAGAACTTTCCTTGGGGTAATGGAGTGAATAGAGGGAAAAAGGCTGTGAATACTTTTGCACTGGTAATTTTAGTTTACTACTATCAATTTTAATCCTTTTCACACATATCCAAAGATTGGTGCTACTCAACAAAAACCAATGTGATCATGTGATATAACGAGGGATTCTTTTTTTTTTCTTTTTAATTTGATGACTTTACTTTTGGATTTGCTTTTAATTGCCACAGATTGCTTTTAAATATCATGTTTTTTTTTTTTTTTTTTGAGACAGAGTCTCGGTTTGTTGTCCAGGCTAGAGTGAGTGCCATGGCGTCAGCCTAGCTCACAGCAACCTCAAACTCCTGGGCTCGAGCGATCCTTCTGCCTCAGCCTCCCGAGTAGCTGGGACTACAGGCATGCGCCACCATGCCCGGCTAATTTTTTTATATATATATCAGTTGGCCAATTAATTTCTTTCTATTTATAGTAGAGACGGGGTCTCACTCTTGCTCAGGCTGGTTTTGAACTCCTGACCTTGAGCAATCCGCCCGCCTCGGCCTCCCAAGAGCTAGGATTACAGGCGTGAGCCACCGCGCCCGGCCTAAATATCATGTTTTGATGAAGTTTGTTCTTTGACACAATTTATGAACAATATTGAAAGGAAAATACTTCCATATAAAAGAATGCCATGATCTTGTTTTGAAGTAGCTCCTCCTTTTCTTTCTTCTTGGTAATTATATTGTCTTTCTCTTCAAAGAGCCGCTTATAATCCCTGTCAATTGTAGTGGTTCTTAGCAGTTACTTGAGGCAGAGTAACTTTGGGTTTCTGCCATGAATTCTGCCAATATACTGCTTCAGGGTTTGTGCTGCAACTTTGGAGTTTAGGGTAATTCTAGCCTTTCTTTATGGAAACAAGTAATTAAAAAATAAAATAAAATGAAATCAATCCCAGAGAAAATTGGGAAGAAACATCGAGGCTCCTAAAACCCCAGGTATTTGTGATGAGATGTTGCCTTAAAGGCAGAAACAAACAAAGTTTGCTATTATTTTGTGGACCTCTTTCCCTACAATGGTATTTTCCTCATAATTAACTAGCTGGAATTCAGCACTTTGTTTTTATTAAATCATCAACTAGTAATAGCTTATTTGCTTCATGCTTTGCAATTTCCTACATTTTAACTTTGCAACATCTCTTTAAAGGCAGGTGATTGCCCCCTCCTGCTTTTTATAATATATATGTTTTTGTTTTCCTAGTAGTTAATAAATACACATAGCACAATATAAAACTAAGCAGTAGAGAGGGGTACAGAAGAAAAATAAGCTGGGTGGAGGAGGGAATTCTTAAGAAGAAAATGTCCAACGTGGAAACCAAGAAAGAGGGATAGTTGAGGCGAGTCTTGAAGAGAGACTGGAATTTTAACAAGGAGGGCTAGTAGGGGTAGAGGAGAATAGCATGGATGGGGACGCAGACATGGATGGAGGTGCACAAGGAACTGGGGCTTGTCTGCAGTAACACTGGGAAGCTGGGTAGCCTGGGGTCAATGTGGAGGGCCAGGTGGGCAGGGCTGGGGGAGAGAGATGAAGGCTTTTGAGCAGGAGTGAGACCAGGGCTTCATAATAAGGGAAGAGGAATTGGTTAGGAGACTGACGTAAGGGTGAGGACTCATGTCAGGAGGGTGGTACCAAGAGCAGGAACGGGGCCCAGGGTGTCTGAGATGTTTGGGCGCTGGAATCCCCAGACTGTCACAACTGGCTAGCAGGTGGCTGGCGAGGAGAGGGAGATTTCACAGATGAGTGCTGCGGCCTGGGGGAGTCCAGTACAAGAGCTGGTGTGAGCAGAGCAGTGCTGAGCCGCAGAGGAAGTGTGGTCTCTCCTCTGTGCTGAGCAGGCAGAGGCCCTGGGCTTGGAATCAGTATCTGTAGAGCACCGTTGGGGACGCAGCCATTTTCCAGTTTCTATTCCTAGACACCCAGGAGCCTAGAGTGCTGGGTCTGGGCTGAGGTGTGGCACTTGTCCTCAGGTGCCATTCTGTGAGGCTGCGGGGCAAAGCCAGGGACTGTGTAACCTGGGAAATCCACCGGGTGAGTCACCTGTCCAGAAGGGCCAGGCTGAGAGGGGGATGTCAGAGGAGGAGGAACAGGACCGATGGCAGGAGAGCCAAGTGAAAGGGGGTGCTTTGGATGGGGCAGGGATGTGGAGACTGGGCGCCCCAGGCCCTGGGACCTCGTAGACCTAGCTCTTAAGCACAGATGTGGTGTAGTAAGTCGAGGCCTGTGGAGCTATGGAGTTAGGGGCGTGTGGCTCTACACCAGGAGAAAGGGATTTTTTCTCAGCCATTGGAGAGTGGCTGACACTTCTCCTTGCTCATGTACACTTCCAGGAGTCTGAGACGGAGAGGAAGTAAGGGAAGTGGGATTCCCGGTCTCTGCACACATAGCTTACTGTAACGCCCTTTCTAGGTTTGAATGGGAGAACACTGCTCATTGGTAGTCATTCTTCTTTTCAAATAGGCCAAGTGCTGTAGTATTTTGCAAGGATTTTTGAGAGCAAATTCATTTTTGGCTACAGCTGTATTATAAAAGTGATTTTCTAAATGGGTTATTTGGGGCTGATTTGCAAATATATTAAGGCCTTGGCAACTTGCAGAAGTTATGAAATTTATGAAAAGAGCCACAGCATTTTTTCTTTCCCTTTAAAGATACTTGTAATCCCTTCGAAGCCACAAACGATTCAAATTACTGACTGCCGTAAAAAATTAAATCCACCCACCACAAAATGAAAACTCACATTTATGGTTCTGCTAAATCATTTTCTTGTCTCTCTCTCTCTCTTTTATAGACAAAACTCTGACTACTGTAGAAAAAAAGGTCATGATTCATGATCGAAAGCGGAATAATGGAGAGGAAATAAACAAGGCAAAATAGAGGTGGAAACAGAAGGAAATCATTTGCGGAGACTGCAGACCGGAATGCGGCTTCTTTCTTGGGATGCCTAAGCCCTGACAAACAGGGCGATCCGTTGTACAAAGCATCTTACGGGGGAGACCGCGACCTCTCCTTTTCCCTGTGGGTCAGTGCTAGTGTGTGTTCTCCGTTTAAGACAGCCAGATCATCTCAGCAGTAAGCACACGAACAGAACTGGGTTCCAGAAAGGAAGCAGTTTCTGGTGCTTTGCATATGTCCAAATCCACACAAGTGGGAGAAAGTTCCAATGCGCACTTCCCATGCTTCCGAGTTTAGGCATTGTGGTGACTATTCAGGAATCATTCATGAGACAGAATGTATTTTCTTGTATGACAGAAGGGTTTTCCCAAGCAAACTGCGGTAAGCATCGTGTTGAATATGTTGCATGTCCATGTTAGAAAACAGAACCCAGTCATCAGCTAATACAAAAGATTTCCCAGAGCAGTGTTTGTTTCAAGCTTCTGTCAAATAGTTTGGCTTTTCTGCAGGGTCCCTGTGACTTCCCCTCCAGTGTACTTTCTCTGTTAACTCACTTGCTGTTACGGTGTAACTCAGGAACAGATCTCAGGCTGGAGAGAAGCATAAAAGTCAAGCTTTTCCTTGGGTCCTGAGAGGTGAGGGGGATTCCTTCTGTGAGGGTTTCTACCTGGATAAAGTGCCAGCGCTGCGTAACTGCATTGTAATTAACACGATCATTGGCATGTTTTTGAATCTCAGTGATATAACACAAGGGTGCAGCGGGCCCACGGGCTGGTCCATAACCGTGTGTTACGTGGAAGATGTGTGGGAATAATGGGTTTTCTGTGAACGGTTGTGATGTGTCTGGAGGTGTAGCATAAACACGTGCATTCTTGTTGAGCAGCATTGTGTTAAATTGAATTGTGTGAATCCGAGGTCAGCCAAGACCACTCTTGGGGAATGCTCCCAAATGCTATTCTGTTCCTTCTAGAGAATTCGTTTCTGTGTTCTCTGTATCTTAACTTAAATGTGTGCCTGGGCAATTCTGTCCCCTGACCTCCCCATCCCCCATGGTAGACATTAAGGGAAGGGAAGGAAACAGAAAATGTCCCTTTGGGGATAGTATTTTTTTTAAAAAAACATGGTACTACATAATAAGTATGAGCTAAGGACACAGGAAAACGCTAGATCAGAAGAGAACCTTTACCTACACAGGAAGAATGAATGCAAGCCTTCGTTTGATAGGAGAGAACTGAAAGAGAATATATTATTTTCCTACAAAAAAGAAAGCTGTCTTCTCACAGGATAAAGTGGAATTCCAACGTGGACCATGGACTTGTTCCAACTTTCATTGACATTGCTTCTTACCAGACACGGGGAAGGGCTGCCTTTCCGGAAAGGGGAGGTGGGCACTGTCCTTTCAGACAAAGCTTGTACAAAGTCCTGAACCGCAGATTTGCTAAAGTGACCGTATATACCTATATTCATAATTTAAATGATTATTTATGGTCAGATACATATTGTTAAACTTGAAAATGTTTTATTACATTACATCAAATAAAGTTTATTTGTAGCTGAAATAAAGCAACACTTACGTAAAGATTTTTAATTAAAGGTCTTATGTCATACATATTGCTGTAGGCAGAATGGCAAAAGGACACACTTCACATGTTGCCTGAAATCCTAACAGGTAGCTAAGACACTTCTGTAATTAATTACATTTCATTGTGACGGTTCATCCCCTTAGTAACTTTTTATTTTTTTTAAACAGTGACTGTTCGTTACTTGAATTGATTAATGAGTATTGATCGGGTTTCTGCTGCATTGAGCTCTGTAGGCATCCGGGCCACAAAGATGGGAGCAGTTCTCACTTGTGAGGAGTTTGCGGTAGGCAGACATATCTCAGATCGTCACAATTTAGTACAATAAGTGCTATAGGAGGTTGCAGGGCTTAACAGTTTTCTTTCCTGTAGTATAAGACAGGGACTTACTGTCACTTGGATTGATTCAGGTTTCCAAATGAGTTTATTCAACTTTTTATTAGGACCTTTGTTATTTCAAACAGTCTCTTTATCCTGCTTGCCTTGAATGCTTGGTTATTGAACTCTCTGCTTCATTCTGGCTACAGTAGCTGGACTTTATGTGTGCACTGTGCCTTAAATATATGGTAACCAAATAAAAAGGAAATGTAGAAATTGAAAGGGAATGAGAAAAACAAATAATATTATTTCACATATGACATAATTTGTCAGTGCCAAGGGTACCACTTTTATTTTAACTAAGAATTGGGAATATCATTGAAATAAGCATCTTCTATATGTTATGACTGTTCAAGAAAGAATGACTATTTATGACTAATCTTTCTTCTCACTCTAGGGTGTCAGCTGTCATTTTCTGGCAAGGCTGAATATTGGGAAACCATGCTTGGGAAGTAAAGCACTTGCAAGAGATAACTGAATTACTGTTGCCTTGGTGTTTAGTTTTATTCTATAAATATTAAACAGGAGGCAATCAGAATTCCTAGGTTTTCTAGAAACTATTTCATAACTAAAAGCATTTACTGTAGTGTCATGTGCTTGAGATGCCTGTATATGTATTTGATGATCAGATTTTAATGCAATTTCATTAAGTTCATTGATTGTAGGCATGAGATCAACAATATGAATAGAGAATGCAGACAATTTTTCAAATAGTTTATGCTAATGTAATAATTGTCTGAATTACCATCTGGAGATGCTGGGAATTTTCCTTTCAGTATTTTGCTTGTTGACTGAATTTTCAATTTAAGGGATGTAAATATTTACAAATCTTAAATTTTTTTTAAAGCAGTCTATGTTCTTTCTCATCTCAGGACCTTCACACATGCTTTCCCCCTCAGTTTGGAATGTTCTTCCTGCTCTTAATTATTTATTTGAATTATGTCTTCATCATTGTCCAGTAATTCTTCAAAGGCAGGGACTGTGTCTGTTTTCCTCAACAGTATGCCCATTACTAGCACCATGCTGGACATATATTAATATATATGGTAGACATGTCATAGCTATATTTTCATGGGAGGGAAGAAAGGGGAGAGGGACCAGAATTGACTGGTGCCTTAATTTTTGTATGGTGAAATGGAGGAGACTTGGTGTGATCAAGTGGCATGCGCAGTGAGCAGGGTAGAAGCAACTGGAATTAAGCTCTTCCTGTGTGCACCTTATGGCAGGCCCTTCACTACATGGTGCTGCTGCTTTTGCATGGGTTAGTCCTATCGAGAGAGCGACCTTTTCTTAATTTTCTGCACTGGTGGAGCAGAGCTGTGTATGTGCTATGGCCCATATGTTGAAACTTGTTTATCTACAGCTAGCCAGATGGTCTGTAACAGCACACAAAGAAGCCATTTGGAAACTTTCAGATGGTCAGTGCATTCTGAAAACATTCAGAGTGATGCATGTTGTGATGTTTGCTTACTTATTACTCTAAGCTTACAGTGAGGAACACCTTGTTAGATATTATGAGTGGAACATGCAGACTTTGAGAACCAACTCAGAGGTTCTAGTTCCCAGAGACAGAAGTTTATCTAATTGGATCACTCTTTAAACTTCCTTTGTTTACACATTCTCTAGAGAAGGAACATAATTTCTGTCTTTTTTTTTTTTTTTTTCTTGAGACAAGGTCTCAACTCTGTTGCCTGAGCTAGAGTGCAGTGGCGTCATTATAGCTCACTGCAGCCTCCGGCTCCTGAACTCAAGTGATCCTCCTGCCTCAGCCTCCCAAGTAGCTGGGACTACTCGGGACCACGCCCAGCTAATTTTTCTATATTTTTTAGAGATAGTATCTCGCTCTTCCTTAGGCTGGTCTTGAACTCCTGACCTCAAGCACAGAATAATAGGGTTGAGTTACTGCACACAGCTGGAACATAATTTCTTAACTTAAAATACTTTGTTTTAAATTCCTGCTCAGTTAAATAAAAAAATTTTTAAAACCTGCCTATGCAGTACAAGCTAACAGAGATAGGATGTGATTATCAATAAAAATATAAAAGTAAAATTTACTATGGCTAATGTGAAACAGAAAGTGAGAGAGGTTGGTAAGTATCAGAAGTAGATTTGCAGATAACAGTTGTGTTGAGTCTTTGGCACTTTAAAAAAGCTGAAATGAAGAAATTAACACCTGTACTAGTGGAGAGGGAGAAGTGGTAATCCAAAAAAGCAGGTAGTAAGAAATATCTGGAATTTATTTTTGATGTGTATTGTGCAATATTTTTGGTGCCAAATTACCCTTTCTACTTACATTTTTATTAGGCTATTATTAAAATGCTTTTTATTCTTTAAACTTACACAGTCTCCTACTAGGAGGGGTGGTTCAGAACCATGATGAGAGGCAGCAGAAAGTCAGCTGTAAATGTAAAAGTTTGTCATGGATAATTCACAAAGTGAATAATCCACCTGTAGGAAAATGAGATATAACTGTATCCACAGAGACTCACAGAGCTGGAGAATCTGTTGATCAAATACAACCCGCTACAGTTTTGCACGTGAGAAGATACCAGACTAGAGCCATGTTTTGTCTAAAGTTGTTTAAAGGAGTATGGTAGAAAGCAGTGCTTTGCTCTATACCTTTGGTGAAGAAATGTTTTTTTAAAAAAAATCTGTCACATAGCTGTGCATTTAAAAGAGGTAATAAAATGAATTATTGATATAAGAAAAATGAAGTGCGAAACATACAAATGATAAGACCAGTTTTTCTTATTAGGTTCAACAGATATAAAATTACATTTCAATAAATATGATCAGAACAAACATAACATGGAAGAAAAGAAAAGAATCCCCCAAACTGACCTTTCTTCACTGAAAGTGAGCAGTTACTCAATTAGGGAAAACCCAGCAGTTGCCCAGGTGAGAAATTACTGTAGCATAATCATTGCATGTTCGGGATGCTAAGTTGCAAGGCTTATTCTACAGCACACGTGGTGCGGGCCATACATGGAGGGCACCCTGGTAGGAAGGGTGAGCGCCCCTAACGTAAGGAGCAGCTTGCCCCTGAGAGCTACACCTGGAGTAGTACCAGTGCAGAGAAGCGACCTGCTTCAACACGTGCTCCTAAATAGCCATGAATCAGAGCCTTTAAGCAACCAGAACTTCTTTCCCCTGTATTTTTCCTCTTTAGTTTTCTATAATTAAATTGAATCCATGATGCCGACCTGAAAGCATTGAAAGGTATTTAATGTTTAAAATGATTGTTTTTCTAAAAAAACTGTTCTTACATAAGGCGAAGAAAGAGACCAAATTTTGACCAAGTGTCACCAATAGAGTTTAGGGCAAAAGTTTGCAATATTAGAAAGATTTATGTTAAGTAACCACAACAACTTATATCTTAAACCCAGTGTTTTTCAGACTTCGCTCTGAATGAGAATTATCTAGGGGGCTTAATAAACATGAAGGTTCCTGGGCCTCCTTTCAAGAGATTCTGATATGATGTGTCCTGGGGTGGGATGCAGAGTGAAGAAGGTGATTGTGGTGTAGCCCGTCGGGGTTCTAAATGATGAGAATCGCTGTTCCCCAAAATGCTGCCAAATTATCTAGCCAGTTCTATGTGCCATTAGTGTGGGAAAGCATGCCTAATGTGAAATAATATCCAGTCTTTTGTATATGGTTCAAGAATCCTGTCAAAGAAATGCACGACTTGCTCACCAGCTCTTTTTTACTCAGTGCTTAACTGTTGGTACCAAAAATCCAGCAAGCTTGTGGAGGAAAATAATCCACAGGTCACCTTAGACAGTTTGCAAATATGATATTTAAAGACATATATATGCTTAAATTTAAGTGACTTGTATTGTTATGTTTCCTTTCTAATTTGGTCTTGAGGTCTCTCTGTTGAGAGTGGCCATAAGCCAAGATAGCCACTCTCAAGGAGAGCCCTGACCAGGGGACAGAGGTTGGGTGTGTGGGTCAGGTGAGACACAATGCGATGAGGAGGTGAGAACAAAATGCATGATACAAGACATTATTACTGACAGTTCCAAAGAGCTTAGGGGTGCCAACAGGGGACCGGCTGGAAGTCAGAAGGTAGCAGGGAACTTTACTGGACCTCAGCGGGCATCGCCCAATCCATTGAGGGCCTGAATAGAACAAAAAAAGGTGCTAAAGGGAGAATATGCTCTCTGCCTGACTGCTCGAGCTGGGATATTGGTCGTCTTCTGTCCTGGAACTGGGACCGCCAGCCCTCTAGTTCTCAGGCCTTTGGACTCTTACTGAATTACACCACCGGCTTTCCTGGGTCTCTAGGTTGCAGACAGCAGATCATGGGACTTCTCAGCCTTCACATTTATGTGAGCCAATTCCTCAAAATAAATCTCTCAATCTCCCCTCCCCACCCCCCCAGCCCCGGCATGTGTGTGTGTGTGTGTATTTATATTGGTATCTGTTGTTCTGGAAGACCCTAATACATTGCCCTAACTGCTATTGCCCTCTAATGTGCACCATTCTATATCTTCCTCATTAAAGCTTATCTGTCCCATGTCCCAGTCTCTCCTCTTCCGCTGTCTCTTGAAACCGTCAGCCAGTTAACCAAATGCACTAATCCATCCAGGGGCAAAAATCTCTCCTCACAGGGCACATGGTTACACCGAGGGA